GTTTGGTGGTCCGTTACCTGGGTCTGGCTGTGAACGTTGTGCTTCACGCACCGTATTCTCAATCTCCCAGAGCACAGCTCCCACCATGTAGGACGAGGTAGTCTCTGGAGCATCTCTAATCAGGGCAGGAGAAAGAATGGGGACCGGCTGGGAATCACGTTCTTCACTGACTGACTGGCGAGACAAAGCATCTGGCTTTAAATTACGTGAACCAGGGCGGTACGTGAGCACAAAATTAAATCTTCCTAGGAATAAAGCCCATCTAGCTTGTCGAGAGTTTAGCCTCTTGGCAGAGCGCAGGTAGGAAAGGTTTTTGTGATCCGTCCAAACTATGAAGGGGTGCTCAGCTCCCTCGAGCCAATGCCGCCACTCCTGTAGGGCAAGGACCACAGCCAGAAGCTCCCGGTTACCAATATCGTAATTCCTCTCAGCCAGGGAGAGCCGCCGAGAGTAGAAGGCACAGGGATGAAGCATTCCATCCACCACGGAACGCTGAGACAGGACAGCTCCAACTCCAGAGTCAGAAGCGTCGACTTCGACAATAAATTGTCTGGTGGGATCAGGGTGGGAGAGCACTGGAGCTGAAATAAACAGAGTCTTAAGTGAGTTAAAAGCAGTCTCGGCTTCCAGGGACCATTTAAATGGGGCTGATGTGGAGGTGAGCTGGGTAAGCGGGGCCGCCTTTCTGCTGTAGTCTTTAATAAACCGGCGGTAGAAGTTGGCAAAACCAAGGAACCTTTGGAGTTGTTTACGGGACTCTGGTCTGGGCCACTCAGCGACTGCTTTCACTTTTTCAGGGTCAGCCTTGACCTGGCCCTGTTCGATCACAAACCCCAGGAAATGCACAGAGGGGACGTGGAATTGACATTTCTCTGCCTTTACGAAGAGTCTGTTCTCCAATAGACGCTGCAAAACAGTGCGGACATGTTGAACGTGTTTCTCAAGGTCTTTTGAAAAAATCAGGATGTCATCCAAGTACACAAAAACAAACTTATTGATCATGTCCCTAAGAACATCATTCACCAAGTTCTGAAAAACCGCAGGGGCATTTGTGAGTCCGAATGGCATAACCAAATATTCAAAATGGCCAATGGGGGTGTTGAAAGCAGTCTTCCATTCGTCCCCTTGTCTTATCCGGACCAGATGATAAGCATTTTAGATCCAGTTTAGAGAATACTGTGGCCTGATGAAGTGGTTTGAAGGCTGAGTCAATGAGTGGTAATGGGTATTTGTTCTTCACAGTGATTTCATTAAGCCCTCTGTAATCAATGCAAGGACGTAAGGACTTATCCTTTTTGTCCACAAAAAAGAATCCTGCAGCCACTGGTGAAGCTGAGGGGCGAATTAACCCTGCTGCTAACGAGTCCTTAATATATGTCTCCATGGTCTCTCTCTCTGGACGGGACAACTTGTAGAGACGACTGGAGGGCAATGGAGCTCCTGGTAACAAGTCTATAGCACAGTCATAAGGCCTGTGTGGGGGTAGAGACAGCGCCTTCTGTTTGCTAAAAACCTCCACCAGATCGTGATAGTCCTTAGGAACGGAAGTCAGGTCAGGAGGAATAGGGGGTTCCCTAGAAGGAGTATCATTAGTGGACACAGCTGAGTGAAGGCAATGGGAATGACAAAATGTGCTCCAGCTAGTGATCTTGTTAGCAGCCCAGTCAATGTGGGGATTGTGGTTCTTAAGCCAAGGGAGTCCTAAAACAATAGGTGCTTGCGGAGACGAAATTACCAAAAGTTGTAAGACTTCTCTGTGGTTCCCAGATAACAAGAGAGTTACAGGCTTGGTACGAAATGTTATCTTGGCTAAAGGATCGCCACTCAAAGCATTAACAGTCTGTGGAATTCCAATAGATTCAGTGGGAATGTTGGCTAGTTTGACCAAATTAGAGTCAATGAAATTGTCATCTGCCCCTGAATCAACAAGTGAAAAAGTTGGAACGGACTCACATTGCCATAAGAGTGTGGACTGGATTTGCAGCCGGAGTTGGTTGAAGGGTTGAGGAGAAGAGATTTGGCTCACCATGAGCTCCCCACTCACTGATGAGCCCGCTCTTTTGGCAGCAGAGGACAGGTCCTGATGTAATGCCCTGCCTGGCCGCAGTAGATGCATAGACCCTCAGTTTGCCGACGAAGACGTTCATCTGAGGTAAGGTGAGCCCGGCCCAATTGCATAGGCTCCTCAGCTGGTGCAACTTTAGTAGTGCTAGAGGGCACAGGAGAAGAGATAGGCACATGAGGCATGAAATGCTGAGCTGACACAGGACCCCGAGAATAATTTTGCCGGCTAGCCTTCTCTCTGCGTCTCTCTCTAAGTCGATTATCCAAAGTAGTCGCAAGAGAAATCAGCTCTTCAAGATTATTGGTTTCATCACGAACTGCCAACTCATCTTTAATATTTTCAGCCAAGCCCCTTAAAAATGCTCCCTGTAGGGCAACATAATCCCAGCCACTCTCAGCAGCCAAAATACGGAATTCCACAGCATATTCAGCTACAGAAGAAGCACCTTGACTAAGCGCTAACAGTCTCTTAGAAGCCTCCTTTCCTCTAACAGGGTGGTCAAAAACTCTTCTCATTTCGTTACAAAAAGCTGGGTATGATTGACAGGTAAGTGAATTACTTTCATACAAAGCAGTTGCCCACTGAGAAGCCTTGCCCCCAAGCAAACTCAGAATAAAGGCAATGCGTGACTTATCTGAGCTGTAGGTGGATCGCTGTTGGTCCAACACCAGGGAACACTGAAGCAGGAAGCGACCACAGGCACCCAATTCCCCGGTGTACCTCTCTGGTGTAGGTAGGTGTGGCTCACGGGCAGATGTAGGGAGAATTGGAGCTGGGGACGAGACGGTACCATCTGGCGGATTACTGGGGCCAGGAGCTGAGGGATCCGAGAGTCGAGTGGAGAGCATGTGGACTTGATTGGACAGCTGGGCAACGTTGATTGAGAGTTCATGTAGATTCTGAACGACCTCCCGCAAAGTCTGTTCATGTTGTCCAACCAGAATACCTTGAGAAGCCAGAGCTTGGCGGACAGAATCAGCTTGGTCTGTTGGGTCCATGTGGCCAGATTGTTCTGTTACGGCACAATATGGGACCCAAAAAGGCGACTCAAGCGTGAAAAATAAAAATACAATTTATTTAAGGAGGGGGAGTTGCTGGAGGGTCTGGAGGCAAGGAGGTCAAAAACAGGAACACAGGAACTGCCAAAAAACAACAAAAACAGGTAAGTACAGGGATCGAGAAATAGCTCAAGAAAACTAGCCAAATGTAGGACTTTCACCAGTAGATGAGACGAAACAATCTGGCACCAACAGGCTGTAGAGCTGGGTACTTGAAGAGATGTGATTGCCTCCAGGTGTGCAGTGCAGGCCCCACCCCTGCCCTCACACAGAGGGAAGGGAGGGGGAGTAGAGCAGGCAGCAGAGGCACAGGATGTGACACCTGCCCTGCGTCTCCTCTGGCTCCCATCCCACTGTGCCGTGACAATACCTGGATTTACAAGTTACATTTTAAGGCAGAGATTCACATTTCCCAACATTGTTTGAATTGATTCTTTAAAATTTGATGTATTTTACAACTTGCGTCATCGTGTGAGCAGTCGGTGAGAAGAGAGGTCACTGAAGCCACGCCCCTTTCCTATCTTATGAACCCATGTGACGCAGCTACATGTATTATTAATATTCCAGCTCCACATGCTCCGACTGAAGGTAAACATCCAACAACAATCCAATAAATACAAACATGAGCCAAACTTGTCCAGATTAATAATTCAAATCCATCATAATAAATATTTCAATGTTACTCGGCTTGTTTGGTTTCTTAATAACTGTATTTTTTTTTTGAGTCGATCAATTATTTCAAACGAGAAGCTAAATTTATTCCATTATCGCTTGTTGAAAACGAAATATCATCTCGAGGGGTAAAACCTGTGTTAATCCATGGACTTGGGCATTGTTATTCTGTTATTCTGCCTTAGCCGAGCAGTGCGGCCGTGTCACCGCAGGTCGGAGAAAATATAGAATGTAGTAGATACTGTTTGGAAAATACAAATTCACATCCCAATTATTTCTTCCATAACCGGAGCATCTCAAGACTTGGCAAGTGATTAGCGGAGGGGCGTTTTAGCCTGGTCTACAGGCAGCGGCCCATGGTTTTCATTGGCTAATCACCAATTATCAATATAACAACTATAGATATATGTTTTTCTGCAGCTGTCTGACAAGAAACGACAACTGATGGATGTGTTTTTCATACGGTTTAGGGCCGGGAGTTATGGGGAAAATAATATGTTTTTCACATATTGAGTGATTGTGACTTTTTTATTTTTGCCTTAAAAAAAAGGACAAAAAAACAGGTTATATAGATTTTTTTATTATGTTTTTTATCAAGAGTTTATGGAGAATAAGGACGCCTAAGTGCTGATTGACCATGCATCACACACTATTCAGAACTTAATTAGCTGTTCATAAGTGAGGGCTAAACTGTACCGAGACCAAAAGTTAGGTACCCCAGCTTTAAGAGTATATATTCATCACAGTGATCTCCAGCCCTAGTTTGAAATGTGCTAAACAGGGGCTAAATCGGGTCTGAGTGGTTTGCAGGGATCCTAGGTTCGAATCCCGGTCTGAACAGGGCCTTTCTGAGTTTAGTTTGCATGTTCTCCCTGCGTAGGTTCCCCTACCACGAAAAACATGCAAAGTAGGTGAAAGTCCTCCAGCTCTGGTCCTGACCAAGACTAGTGCCAACATCTATGGGACCTGGGCGCTGTTACTATGACAACTACTGCTCCTGACGGAAGCTGGGTCAAATGCAGAGGACAAATTTAGTGTGCATTTACATTTTTTACATAAATACACATACAAAAACACATTTCTGTCCCTCCAATCTTTGTTAAAACGTGTTAAATCCACCCAAAAACTGTGTGGTCCTGACCTCCCTCTGGCCCCTGACTCTTTTAAACTTTAAAGTTAGTGAAAGGGCAAAGTGTGTCTCATCGATGCTCACACAGCACAACGTCACGGAGCCTCTGTCTAAACCTCCGCCTCCAGCGACCGCAAACATCACCCTCCAAAACAGACGCCACAATGGGACGCTTTTAATGAGAGCTGTCCAAACACGGTACGTCCAAAGAGCCAAGTCCTGCTCCGAAGGGTTTGGGAGGAATGTGGGTTTGTTTATAGTCTGACAGAGCGGGATTGGATGGAGAGAATGAGAGAATAGAGTTTGGACAAACAGTGGGAAGCTTATTTTAGTGCTTACTAAAGTGAATTGGATTTCTAGGAGACTAATACAAAAGCTCCATGTATCAAACTCAGTCATTGCGTGAAGGGGCAGAGCACAAAGCCATACGGCAAGACTGAAAATATAATATCGATAGAATCACTCAGGCCAAAAACATGTTAAAAGGTTAAAATATAATGTATCGTGCAGATAGATTATGTGCAATAAAATAACATGAAACGTGACGCAGAGTGAGTTTTTCAGTCCTAGTGCAGGTCATTGAAGTGACTTTATACATGTAAATAATTATTCCTGTTTTGAAGTACAGCTGTTTACATTAGAACTCTCTTGCCCTATTTTGTGTGCTGTTGTCTACCGTCCACCTAAATACAACAAGGATTTCATCCAGGAGTTTTCTGAGTTCTTAGCTGAGGTGGTCCCAAAATATGAAAATATTCTTATTTGTGGGGATTTTAACATCCATGTATGTTGCCCGTCTGACCAGTTGGCCAGTGATTTTAAACGTCTTCTCTCGTCTTTTGACTTAAATCAGTCTGTGGATGGACCAACTCACAACGCTGGACATACGTTGGACTTGATTATTTCTCATGGACTCTCTGTGTCTCTTATAGAAATATCAGACACCCCCATTTCAGATCATTTGCCCATCATATTCGAAGTTCCTGCTCCTCTACCGGCCAGTAAGCCACCTGTCCCAGCCTCTCGCCGTCGGATTATTAATTCTTCAACAGCTGGGGAGTTTACTGCTGCTTTTGCAGATTCAGAGCTCTCTGCCTGTGGTGGAGATATTATTCCAGAATGCCCAGATAGCCTTTTGTCATCCTTTTACTTAACTTGTTCAGGGATTTTGGACAAAATTGCTCCGTTTATTTGCAGGTCTTCAAAACCAAGGGCTGACCCTTGGCTTAATGATTCGACCCGGGCCCTCAGACAGCGCTGTAGATGGGCGGAACGACGGTGGAAGAAGGACCGTTTGCATGTATCTCGGGAGATTCTGAAGGACAGCCTTGCTCAGTATCAGAGGGCTGTGAAAGAGGCCAAATCACAATTTCTGTCGAACATTATTTCGACGAAAGCACACTGCCCTCGTGTGTTGTTTAATACAATTAACGCTGTTGTGAACCCTCATACCTCTTCTTTGGCAGATGCCACAGTTTCTACTTGTGAGACTTTTTTACAGTTTTTTGTTGATAAAGTGGCGTCTGTGAGAGCACTCTGCAGCAGCAGCCCGGACCAGTCTGTTGCTGTCTCACATTCGGCAGTGTTTGACCATTTTGTACCGGTCTCTCTCTCGTCCCTCACTGACATCGTCAAATGTATGAGAACCACGAACTGCCCCTTGGACATTCTCCCCACCAAATTGTTGAAAGAAGTGTTTGTTTCTATAGGGCCTTCCCTCTTGGTTCTAATTAACATTTCTCTCTGTTCAGGGAAAGTCCCTGATGTCTTCAAACATGCTGTAGTCAGACCCCTGCTTAAAAAACCACAGCTTGACTCTTCTGTTTTGTCTAATTTTAGACCTGTGTCGAATTTGTCTTTTATTTCAAAAATCCTTGAGAAAGTTGTTTTTATGCAGCTAAACATATTTTTAGAATGCAATTCAATTCTTGAAAAATTTCAATCTGGGTTCAGAACAAGACATAGCACAGAGTCTGCGCTGTTGAGAGTACACAATGATGTGACCCTGTCTGTTGATGCTAAATGCCCTGTTGTTTTAGTGCTTCTTGATCTAACAGCAGCATTTGATACTGTTGATCATTCTGTTCTTTTGTCTCGCCTGGAGCATCATGTTGGCATTTGTGGTGCTGCACTTAGGTGGTTCCAATCATATCTCAGTGATAGAACATTTTCTGTTATGATTGGTGATCTGTCCTCCACTGTTGCCTCCTTGTCGTGCGGAGTGCCCCAGGGTTCTATTTTGGGCCCCATGTTGTTTTCTCTTTATATGTTGCCATTGGGGTCAATTATTGCCCAACATAACTTGGCATTTCATTGTTATGCAGATGATCTGCAAATCTATCTGCCTGTTTCATCAAATAGGAGTGATGCTGTCAATTGTCTAATGGACTGCATATCTGACATAAAACTGTGGTTACAGCAGAATTTCCTCCATTTAAACGAGGACCAAACAGATTTCATTTTGTTTGGTGACTCAAATTTTACAGACTTTGGTTTGTTGTCTTCTAATTTCAAACCAGTGGTTAGAAACCTCGGGGTTGTCTTTGATAATTCGTTTTGTTTTGACAAACAAATTGACAGCGTGGTCAGGTCAAGTTTTTATCAGCTGCGTGTTTTAACTAAAGTAAAGCCTTTTTTAAACCGCTCAGACCTGGAGCAAACCATCCACGCTTTTATCAGTTCAAGAATTGACTATTGTAATGCCCTTTATTGTGGAGTGTCCCAGTCCTGTCTTAATCGTCTTCAATTGGTGCAAAATGCTGCAGCTCGTTTTTTAACAAACACTCCCAGACGTCAGCACATCACCCCAGTCCTTTTTTCTTTACATTGGCTTCCAGTTTCTTTTAGAGTTGATTTTAAAATTCTTCTTTTTGTTTTTAAAGCCCTCAATGGTCCTGCCCCTTCATACCTGTCTGAACTTTTGACTATTCGTGACTCGGGCAGGTCCTTGAGGTCGTCAAATCAGCTCTTGCTGGAAGTGCCTAGGACCAGGTCCAAGCGTTGGGGTGATCGGTCCTTTTCAGTCGCTGGACCCAGACTCTGGAATAAGCTGCCCCCTGAAATGCGCACCATCACTGATCTTGGCCTTTTTAAATCCAGGCTCAAGACACATTTATTCAGACTGGCTTTTAACATTCAGTAGCACGGCAACACTTTTTTATCTTACTGTTTTATTTTTATTTTTGTTTGAATTAATGTTTTTTATGCATTTTATGTGATTTTATTGTAAAGCACTTTGGTCGCCTTGAGTGTTGTAAAGGGCTCTATAAATAAAATTTGATTGATTGATTGATTGATTATTGTACAGTCTGACAGTAGTGGGGATGAAGGACCTGCTGCCTTTTTGCACTGAGGCACTCCCTTCCCTTGGAGATAAGGATGCTTCTCCATGTCAAGGTGCCAGTTGAGGTGGTCCAGACCAGAAAGAGACCAGAGAGAGACCAGGGAGAGACTAGAGAGAGACCTGAGAGACCTGAGAAAGAGACCAGCGAGAGACCAGGGAAAGACCAGAGAAAGACCAAAGGGTCCTGTCAAACCGGTCCTCAAAGGGCCGTGGTGGCTGAGAACTAGACCAGACTCCACCCATTTCCTCAGGTGAGTCCAGTTCAAACCTGCAGATTTGAGGAAATGGGTGGAGCCTGCTCTGCTCCTGCTCAGGTTGGAACTAAAACCTGCAGCCAGACCGGCCCTTTCTGGAACCGGTTTGACACCTCTGGTCTGAAAGCTGGCCTGGAACTCTCTCTCATGGGGTGGAGAGAGCATTGGTGTAAAAGTCTATGAATCTCTGCTTAGATTGCTGCCCCCACACTCGGCAGGGGATAGAGCACAAGAAAATGGAACAATTATGAGCCACAAGAATCATATCTTAAAGCGTTTTTAGCAGAATATTTAGAGTTGCTGTCTGCGCTGATACAGTGAAACCAAAATGAGTTTCACACCCCTGTCCTCGACCCTAAAATACACATTATAAAATATATCTTCCCTGGCAGCACCTCCACATCCATCCTTCCAGACACATTCTTGGACTAAACACACACATTTGGCCTCTTCCCCGTCTGCAGTGTGATCCATGGCTTCTATGTTAGAGTTGATGTGAGGACCTGAAAGCAGACACCAAAAAGCACAGTCAAAATATGTATTAACAAAAAGTGTAGCAGGCTGAAGAGAAACAGGGCAAGGCTTGGTCCAGAGGGGGGTCCGAGCAGGCAGTGGAGCAAGAAACAAAAAAAGTCAAAAATTAGAAACGAAGTCACAAAGTAAAATCCTCAAAAGCAAATAGGTAAAACAGTCTCATCACAACAGTGGAAGACGGAACAATCTAACAGTGAGTGGAATCATAGACTGTAAACAGACGAAGTCACACCTATCTCCGCCGTTTAAACTAATGTGTCACCACTTTTGGCTTCAATGAGGATTTTTCAAAATGGCCACGGGCAGCCCCTCCCTCAGGAGAATGTGGAAAATACGCATTTGCGCATGTGTTAGCTGCACCAGCCCTATTCATTTGTCAAGTGCATTCTGATGTACACAGCGGCTAAACCAGACTGGTCCAAAATGTAAAAGAAAAATATACATCGACAACATCTGGACCACTTTTGAATCATCCTCTAAAGCCGTTTCCAGACCACAAAGCAGCCACACAAAGCAATGGGTAAATCTCTCTCTGGGTACACCCCCACTGGCCGGGAGTGGAATTGCATGTATGTCAGTGCACGTGATCATGGACCTTTTTGGAGCCAGGATCTGCTCACACTGGTGGAGATCAGCTTGGGGGGGGCAAATCACAACATCCTAATGCCTAATTCCCAAAAATACTTCTTCTGCGGTACATGCATGATCTGATCTAGAGAGAGACCAGAGAGAGACCAGAGAGACACCATAGAGAGACCAGAGAGAGACAAGAGAGACCAGAGAGTGTCCCGAGAGAGACCAGAGAGAGACCAGAGAGTGTCCCGAGAGAGACCAGAGAGAGACTACAGCTGTGGTTTGGTTTGGACAAAGGAGTAGAATCCTCCTCAGTTAGCGAAGCACATGTAGCATTAGCCGACCTGCTGCCATTGTTGTTTCCTGTCTACTGCGTCCAAATGTAAGACGTTTTGAGGTCAGAGAAGCCGAGAATTCAAACCTTTTTCTTCTGTTCTGTTCCGCTCTGGAGGCTGTTTCTCACCGATTTCACCTCAAACACTTTCTTCATATAAACAAAAAGGACATGTTATAGTTTATTACCACCAAAGTTTGCAGTGAAAGAATAATGACATATCAAGCATCTCCGAGCGTCCTGAAAAGAGCTGTATAAAAACCGATGCATTAAAAAAGTTGAGTTTGCCTATGTCCCCTTTAAGTCAGTCTGCGTCTTGGTGGTGTTTGCGGCTGCGGGCGGTGGCTGTAATCAGGTCAGGCTTGTGCATAAGTGCCACAGAAGGGACAGGATCCGTCACGCTGTCAGTGGACTGTCAACACAATGTGAGCCAGAAGGCATGACACAGGCCGCGCACTGCAGACTGTTCCCACACGGACAAATGTATAGAAACAGAGCAGAGCATGTATGCAGCTCCGAGACACAGTGTACTGACCGCAAATGTTCACGGTTATTCAACTCACACACAACAAACATGTCCGTGAGGCGAGCTGGCCTGCCGTCCCCGCACACAACAGCAGTTTTTATTCTGCAAATGGGATTTTTATTGAAGTTTGGGTTAAAAGAGACTAAAAATGTGTTCAAAGTTGCCCAAAATAGGAGATCGGATGGATTTGTTTTCAAAGGAAATGCTGCTAATTATCAAGTTGTTTTGTGTTGTAGACAAGACAAAGGCGCGTTGTCCGAGAGAAATCAAATCACTACGAGAGGACAAAACTATGATATTTTGAGAAAATCTAAAAAAAGGCAAGTTCATTGTATGGCAAAATCCAGCCATTCATTTTCTTCCCCTTAATCCATTTCTGGGTTAGGAGGTGGCAGTCAGAGCACCAGCCCCTCACTGATCCTCCTGCAGGTGCTGAGTCCACAGGAACCTTGATCTTTCAGCAGGGGCTTCAGGCAAAGTGAGGTTAAGTGTCCTGCCCAAGGACACAACGACAGCAGTAGTCAGTGGGAGTAATGTCTTTTGTTCATACATACACAAGGCGACTTAAAGTGCTGAAAAGTGAGTTTGTTTTTCCAACAGTAAGTAATGTATAAAGGGTTCAGTTACTGTAGTTAGTGCAAAAACTGATGAAAACAACTGAAATCCAAGAACAAAACTCTCCCAAATGCTTACAGTGTGTTGCTATGGTAACTATCACTCGCTCTTCTCTGGTGGAAAACCAAGCTGCACCTGTCCCAGTTTAGCCTGACCTTATCCATCCGTACACTCCGCTCAATCATCATTTCACTGCATGTAACGTCTGGGTCTGGTCCCTGTGTTAGCGACAATACAATCGGTCGTATTTCGACCGGCTACTCAGAGAGCGCGGAAGGCGGGTGTTGTAGGTCAGTGCCGGTGACGTCAAAAGTTTGCGCTGAACGGACAGGTTGTGGTTTGGCATTGGCGAAGAATGCAATAGTAAAGTAATCTGGTCTGGTTCTATCAAGAAATTGAAGCAGGAGCAAGGGTAATGTTTAGCAAATGTAATCGCTGCAAAGTTTGTGGCGCTACTCCCCACGGGCTCCGTTAGCGGCAAAGGAGATGGCTAAAGCTAGGCTAAATGCTAACAACTCACTCGGGCTTATTACTTACGTCACTGTAAACTCAGATCCAATGGTTTCAATCTGCAAAAGGAGTTAACCCCTCCCACCTGTTAACGGAGTCAAAGGAGCAAATCTAGACCTTAGAACGAAATGTAATCTGTACTAAGGTGTGGTACAACCAGGCTAGTCCCAGACCAGTCCAGGACCAATTCAGAATCAGACCAGTTCGGGACCAGCACCTTGCAGAAAAGTTGCCAGGTTATTGTGTGTGTGTGTGTGTGTGTGTGTGTGTGTGTGTGTGTGTGTGTGTGTGTGTGTGTGTGTGTGTGTGTGTGTGTGTGTGTGTCTTCTCTGTAGATCTAGAATATTGAATGAACAACTGGGATTTTCAGAGCAATTAAGAACCTAAAATAAAAATAAAAAGTGCAGATTCTGTTTCTGTGTCAAAAAAAAAGTAGTTTAGAAGTTTAAAGTACAGTTTCCAGCGACTTGCTTGATTTCTTTAACATCTGAGGGAGGTATGTCTTTGTTTACTGTTACCTGCTCCCTCTCCCTTTGTATATGTGCACATCCAGAGACCACATCACCCCCGTCCTCAAACAACTCCACTGGCTCCTGCTCCATACTGCCTCAATACAAGGTCCAATAGTGACTCTCCGGGCTCCTTCTTTCTCTGATTTATGGGTTTATCTTGAACCAGTGTTGTATGGAATCACAAAGAACTTGTTTCTTTAAACCTCACCAGCGAGTTCTATGGCTGATGACAAGTGTGTATTAATATATTATATACATATTTTTCCCAATAGAAGGAGTTTTGTACAAGTAAAACGTTATGAACCGCCTGGGAGCGCTTCAGTCCTGCACCGGACCTGTCCACGTTCTTCGACCGCTGCGTGGCTCTGGTCCTCGTTCTGTAGCTTAGGTCCTGGATCCACAGCCCGTCCGTCCGTGTAGGAGCGGATCCCTTTCTCAAATGTGGGTCTCCCCGAGGTTTCTCACTTTTTTTGTGAGTTTTTCCTTGCCGATGCAGGAGAGTCTGTTGGACAGTTAGTGTCCAACTAGAAGGACTGTGGTGATCCAGGACACTTTAACATTCTACATGTGTGACATTTATCAACATTCATGGACATTGGTCTCTCCCTGTGGACCAATACATATGTGTATATTCTGTGTCTTAACTGTTGATTCTCTGATCTGTGTTGGTGATTTCAATGGTTTTGTTAAGTCTCTGAGATGACTTTTGTTGAGATTTAGGGAAATACAAGAATAAGTTGTTGTTGATGTTGTTGAACAAATCACACCACAACATCCTACATCTCATTAGAAAGCATGTTATTTTTGTACTTAAGACAGAGCTGATTGGCCGAGTGAGGGTCTGATTCTTTTCACTTCAGTCTGAAAAGCAGATCCACAGATGAACTCAGCGACATACTGTATTACCCAGCTCCATTTATACTTTCACTTTTAAACCCCAACATGGACTCTCTCCTTCTATTTTACGTTGTCAAAGTTCTTCCAAAGTGATTCACGCATGGTTGAATAGTTTGCATTACCTAGACATGCATCACCACAGACCCACATCGCCGATTTCTTTTGCAATTAACGACACAAAAGAAAAAAATGATCAGAGAAGTTTGCAAATGTCAAACTTTTCTGTGTAAAAAGCCTTGTTTCTGACCACGCATTGGAAAGAGGAGGGAGGGAGGAGGAGACGGGGGGAGGAGGAGACGGGGGGGGGGGGGGGGGGGGGGAGGAGGAAGAGAGGGGGGGCATGCATTGTATTTGTATGAGCATCTATTTGTGGAAAGTAATTGTGTGTGTGTCTGTTTTGAAGAAGATGAATCACCTCCTGTTTCCTCTGGAGCTGCACTCAGACCAGTGTCATTTGTTCCGTGGCGTTTTGTGTCTTCAGAGATAATTACCGATGTAGTGATATCAATGAGAGGCTCCTGTGGATGAGAGAGACATGCCCACCATGAGTCTTTGGACATTACATGACACTTTGAAGCAACTTTGGTTAAAGTTAAACTCATCATTCTAATGCCCACTGCATTATATTGTATATTACATCGGAAAATTTCCGAGATGACCTGTGTAATAAACATTCTCTCGCTTGTTATACAGCTTTGTACCAACAGAACACACAAAATAAACGTCAGCCCATTCTAAGCAATGCCGAAAGGTTTATTTAATGACAGAAAATAAAATTAAATAAACATTGTTTTGAGAGGTCGGTTATAAAGAAAAAATGACCGGTAGAACGTTTTGAAATGACTTTCAAATCAATGGAGCGTTCTCCTGCTGCTGTGTGGAATAAGTCACTTTAAGTCACCTGCACTAGGACTGAAGAACCAGCTGCTATTGCCATGTTTTTATTGTACATAGTTACATCCTGCACAGACTGTATTTTTAACCTTTAAGATGTTTCACACTTCTGTATGCAACATGTTGGCGATGCACTTTCCAATATGAAGCGCCTCAGTAAATCATCACGTGGTGCAAACGTATTGTTGTAGTTTTTCTATACGTCAAACAATAAATTCCCCCTGATTATACTCGGCACGCTCAGAACATCACTACTTAGCTATGAAACTGCAGTATTGTTCAGGGTCATTTCTTTTCACAGAAAATGCACTGTAAAGGTTTAGTTTTGAAATGAACTTTTTGGGACTGCCCTGCCCTAGGATACTTCAGATTTAGAAGAATGTTAAAGACGTATTTGATAAATTGGAAAATCTGTGGGAGCAATAATCTATTATTTCTATCACCACAGAAACACTTGGGCTGAATTTTTACTTTTTATAATCATTCATACTATTATAAGAATATTTTAGAGCTCTGCTCTGTTGAAGGGAATGTTTATATGCATCCTGCTTCTGTCAGAAAGAGGTTGGGACTGACTGCTCTAGGATAATTGTTGACTAAGTTGCTAAAATTTAGCGCAAGATTTTTTTTTACCAATGCAGCATCATCCTAATACAGCATTCAGGGTCTCACACTGAACCACAGCAGAGAGAAGCAGACGCTGCAGAAAAGGCTTCGAGAGAAACAGCTCGTGCCCAATACACTGTGCTTCAGAGGAAGATCCACCGCTGCCAGAACCAGAACCAGAACCACAACTGGTCTTGGACTCATACACAGTGGTGATGATCCAGGACACTCAACATTCAAAAACCATTATGGACATTTATCATCATTTGTCTCTGCTCCTTTTGGAACAATGTCGCTGTGTTTTTTGTATCATTGCATTTCCTGTGTTCGATCTGTTTGATTCTCTGATCTGTGTTGGCGAATCAACAACTTCTTAATCCTTGTGCGTCCTGATGAAGTCCTGATAGTCCTACGTAATTCAGATCGTGAACTTTGGAGATATTCTGTAAAAGATGAGTAATCACAGTACAGACCAAAAGTTTGGACACCTTCTCATTCAAAGAGTTTGTTATTTTCATGATTATGAAAATGGTAGATTGACACTGAGGGCATCAAACCTATGATGAACTCATGTGAATTATGTACGTACTAAAAAAGTATGAACCAAGTGAAAACATGTGTTATATTCTGGTTCTTCAAAGTAGCTCCTTTTGCTCTGATACTGCTTCACTCTTGGCATTCTCTGGATGAGCTTCAACAGGACCTGAAATGGTCTCCAACAGTCTGGAAGGAGTTCCCATGATGCTTAGCACTTGTTGGCCCCTTCACTCTGTGGTCTAGCCCCAAAACCATCTGGACTGGGTTCAGCCCCAAAACCATCTGGACTGGGTTCAGGTCCGGTGACTGTGGAGGTCATGTGGCCCAGCACCACCTCTCTCCTTATTGGTCAAACAGCCCTTACACAGCCTGGTGTGGATCTACAGCCAATAGTCATGAAAATTACTCAGTGAAGGAGAGAGGGTGCCCAAGGCCTCTTGTGTCAGAAAGAACCAGGAAAAGAAGAAAACTTCTTGTTGACTGCATTCATAACCAGTTGAAATGATGCTCGCTGAACTTGTCAACCTTTTCTCTTCCTGCTCTCCTCGAGGTCAGACGTGTTTCTTGCCTGCTCCTGCTCCTGCCCTGACTGTCTTTTTTCCTGAGTTCTGCCTGTATACAACTTGAAAAATGATGGAATTAATCAACTGGTCCCTCAACGCAATTGATACTATTTTTTCATCACGTAAAGGCGGTTCTGGAGATGCCGTTTGCCCGGATGGTACGGCGGCTGCTGGGTACGTTTTTGACAACTGGCAAAAGTGGCACCCCGTTTGTCTGTCGGGACTGTCCATCGAGGACATTGAGGATATATACATTTTTGGATTTATGGTAGCAGGGTTCCTCCTGATTGGATTTGGAGTTGGCTTGATCTACCGCAAAGTTGGAGGGCTGTCCACTCAGAAGATTTACGAGCGGCTGTCCGCGGAAAACAAGGAGAGTTTCCGCGAGTTGGTCAGAGTCGTGGTCGAGGGCACAGTGGGGACACAGCGGGGGGTGAGTCGGATCGAACATTCCCTTAACGACCTGGGAGTGAGATCTTTGGATGGACTTCAACGCGTGGAAGGATTGATTGAAGGACTTGGGCCTCACGGTGGAACCTCGTACTGACGTGGTCAACTCCGGATAACGGTGAACGGAGGGTCCAGTTCCAGTATAATTTGGACATATTGGCTTTAGTTTGCACTGCCTTTCATTGATCAGCTAAAGTGCTTATACAAATTTCCCACAAGGGCATGTGTTGTTTTGTCTCCAATGTTTGCACCTGCGCTATCTTTGTCCTTCACATTCCACCACCACTGCTACCGGCCACTCAAGGCCGACACTGGATTCTTATCTATCTCAGACTCACAACCCAGAACACCAGTTACAGTCCCCCCCCCCCCTTCTACATGTTTGCCTCCCTCTCTCTTCAGTCTATGGTGGTCTTCCCCTCCACCTCCCCCACCCACACTCCCCTCTGACGCGCTGTATTGGACGAGGCGGGCCAGAGTGATGACTTCACATTAAAAAGATCCGCATGTTTTTCCACATGTACCGTGTCTCTCCCCATGTTTGTTGAAATATGTGTCTGTTTTGCTCTCTGCTGTTGAATAACTGTCATAAGGAGCGCGGAAAATTAGAGTACGCGGCCAGCCTTGATGTTTATTCATCGAACTGAATTTCTCCATCTGTGTGAGATAATAAAGGATTGATTGATTGATTGATTGATTGATTAAAACCCAGACTCCAGGTGACGCACACGAGCGATGCTTCTGTTGTCTGAGCGACTTTATCAAGGCTTCGTTTTCTCGCCAAGTCCAATTATGAGATAATGAATTTCAGCCGCCGTCATTAAGGTAAAGTAACACACAATGACATTTAATTAGAGCTATATTTAGTCCCTCAAACACACTTGTCAAGGCACATAGCACTCGCTGTGAGGCTTAAAGAAACAAGTCCTTTGTGATTCCATACAAGACTGGTTCAAGATATAACCACAAATCAGAGAAAGAAGGAGCCCGGAGAGTCACTATTGGACTCTTTGGGATAAGAGTTGATTGGCTGAGTTGATTCAAAGATGTGACAGAGGCCAAACATGAATCTGAAAACTAGTGAGAACTGTTTCTGTACAGACTGAGAGCATAAACCTTTAAAATATGGAAACAACTGTAAAAGTAAATGCATGTTTACCTTTAAATGAAACCAACTTTGCAGTGTCAAAATCTAAATTTTTGTGTTCAATCAAGTCAATGATGAACCAGTGTGTCCTCAATGGAGTGTGTTGTGAAACCGCCATGTGTCAATGAGTCAATAATGAGCTGTAATCCAATCAAAATAGGAGTTTGTTCACTAGTAAATAATAATAATAATGTTTCAAACTTATATAGGGATTCTTTGGACACTCAAAAACACTTTACCAAACGCATAAAAAAACAGAGGAACAAAATGAAGGACTGGCTGAGACAGGTGAGTTTTAGAAGTGATTTAAAGTGAGTCTGAGTTTCTGATGTATGAGGGACTGAGTTACAGAGAGTGGGGGCCACTGCAGTGAAGAATCGGTCACCCAAGGTTCAGAAGGCTCGGTTCTCAAGGTTCAGAAGGCTCTGTCCTCCAAGGTTCAGAAGGCTCAGTCCTCCAAGGTTCAGAAGGCTCAGTCCTCCAAGGTTCAGAAGGCTCAGTCCTCCAAGGTTCAGAAGGCTCAGTCCTCCAAGGTTCAGAAGGCTCAGTCCTCCAAGGTTCAGAAGGCTCAGTCCTCCAAGGTTCAGGAGGATCAGTCCTCCAAGGTTCAGAAGGCTCAGTCCTCCAAGGTTCAGGAGGATCAGTCCTCCGAGGTTCAGAAGGCTCAGTCCTCCAAGGTTCAGAAGGTTCAGTCCTCCAACGTTCAGAAGGCTCAGTCCTCCAACGTTCAGAAGGCTCAGTCCTCCAACGTTCAGAAGGCTCAGTCCTCCAACGTTTAGAAGGCTCAGTCCTCCAAGGTTCAGAAGGATCAGTCCTCCAAGGTTCAGAAGGCTCAGACCTCCAACGTTCAGAAGGCTCAGTCCTCCAACGTTCAGAAGGCTCAGTCCTCCAAGGTTCAGAAGGCTCAGTCCCCCATGGTTCAGAAGGCTCAGTCCCCCATGGTTTGGTGTTTAGTCCTGAGGGAGTGAAGTGGTCTGAGTCTGTGGATCTATGAGGGTGGGACACTGATGAAGGAGGAGGTCAGTTAGGTGAGAAGGAGCAGGTTATGGAGGGACTTGTCGGTGAGAAGGAGGAGAGCCTTGTATTTAAGGCAGAATGGAACAGGAGCCGGTGGAGTTGTGTGAGGACGGGGGTGATGTGGTCTCTGGATGTGCACATTTACAAAGGAAAAAAGGAGCAGATCACACATACCATCTGCAGCGCTCTGAAGCTGAATGATTAAATTACTAGACTTAAAAAAGACAACAGTAAACAAAGACATACAGTACCTCCCTCAGATATTAATTACATCAAACAAGTCGGTCAAAGCTGTACTCTTCTTTGAACCAGATTCAGAACCAAAAAATGTCTCTACATTGGCCTTTTCACCTGCACAGAGCAACAGATAATTAGTTCTGTATTTTAATCAAGAGTCGAGGCTTGGTCACTAACTTACTCTTTTAATTATTTAATATCAATTCTGATTTATATACCAGAACCAAACTGTTTTAGGTCCAGAAATTAGTTAAATGTTTAGTGGTGTGAAAGTTAGGTAGCCCAGCTTTAGGATTTTCTGTTTTGTTCACTTTGAAACTGGCTTTGTCTATCGTCAGGTGTCATCTTTCTTATGTACAACTGATCAGTCTGATCTTTTATTGAATTGATTTGAGTGGATGAGGGAGAAATGTGGCCTTGAAAGTCTAATCAAACCTGTTTTCAAGCACACACCTTTCCTTTGCGAAACAACACAGCAATCCTGGAGAAGAATTGTTCAAAGCTTGTGCAAACACAAGGAAGGACCACATGATGAGAATGTGTTGAGGTCTGTCTTGTACAAATAACAGGCTGTGGAATGGGTTCTGTGGTATTACATAGAGGTGTTCAGGATTCAGAGAATGTAGAGAAAATAAATCACATCTAAATCTTCTGCCAAAACTCTACTTTGTGTGATTTACTTTCAAACATCTCTTACACTTGTGTTTCGGTCGGGACAGACATAAGACTGGGGGAGCAAGTCAGTCAGGAAGAGCAAGAGGAAGAGCAAGAGGAAGAGGAAGAGGAAGAGGAAGACAAGGAGCAAGAGCACGTGGTTGAAGAGGTCATGTACACAATATGATGCCCAAAAAATAATTGTAAACTGCTTTGTGACTCTGGTCTGTGAAAGGCGGTATATAAATAAAGATTACTTACTTACTTACTCTGATATCTGATGACATTAGAGCAACTTTGGTGGATCATGTGATCATGGCTTCACAATGAGGGAAGCAGAGTCCAGCCTCAGCTGAGCTGGTTCACAGCTGCATCCATCATAAGGACCTTCAGACTGGAAAACAGGTCTTCAACTCTCTGGAGTGTATATACAATATCAACAGTACTTTACAGTACTTAACAGTATCATATGTGTTGTATTTCAAGTTGACTTGGTTGGTTTTGTGAAACATACCATTCAGTAAAGTACATAGCACTGCACCATTGAGAAGTCACAGTACTGTGTACAGTAAATAGTACTTGTGGTTGCATATTTCTACAGAAAGACTAGAAAACCTTGTGGATGAGGTCGTATGTTCACCCAACAGCAGGATCTTGCCTTTGTAGAAATGGTCCGAGCAAACGATGAAATCCCTCTGCGAGCTACGGCAAAACAATAATGTTCAGTAATAACTGTGCCATTGTATCAGTACCACCAGAGTGATGTGTGTGTGTGTGGGGTGTGTGTGTGAGTGAGTGTGGTGTGTGTGGGGTGTGTGTGTGTGTGGGGTGTGTGTGTGTGTGTGTGGGGTGTGTGTGTGTGTGTGTGGGGTGTGTGTGTGTGTGTGTGTGTGTGTGGGGTGTGTGTGTGAGTGGGGTGAGTGTGGGGTGTGTGTGTGAGTGAGTGTGGTGTGTGTGGGGTGTGTGTGTGTGTGGGGTGTGTGTGTGTGTGTGGGGTGTGTGTGTGTGTGTGGGGGTGTGTGTGTGTGTGTGTGGGTGTGTGTGTGTGTGTGGGTGTTTGTGTGGGGTGTGTGTGTGTGTGTGTGGTGTGTGTGTGTGTGTGTGGGGTGTGTGTGTGAGTGGGGTGAGTGTGGGGTGTGTGTGTGAGTGAGTGTGGTGTGTGTGGGGTGTGTGTGTGTGTGTGTGGGGTGTGTGTGTGTGTGTGGGGTGTGTGAGTGTGTGGGGTGTGTGAGTGTGTGGGGTGTGTGTGTGTGTGGGGTGTGTGTGTGTGTGTGTGTGTGTGTGGTGTGTGTGTGTGTGTGGGTGTGTGAGTGAGTGTGGTGTGTGTGGGGTGTGTGTGGGGTGTGTGAGTGAGTGTGGTGTGTGTGTGGGTGTGTGTGGGGTGTGTGTGTGTGTGTGGTGTGTGTGTGTGTGTGGGGTGTGTGTGTGTGTGGGTGTGTGTGTGTGTGGGGTGTGTGAGTGTGTGGGGTGTGTGTGTGTGTGTGGGGGGGTGTGTGTGTGTGTGTGTGTGTGGGTGTGTGTGTGTGTGTGGGGTGTTTGTGTGGGGTGTGTGTGTGTGTGTGGGGTGTGTGTGTGTGTGTGTGTGGGTGTGTGTGTGTGGGGTGTGTGTGTGAGTGGGGTGTGTGTGTGAGTGAGTGTGTGTGTGTGTGTGTGTGTGTGTGTGTGTGTGTGTGTGTGTGTGTGTGGGTGTGTGTGTGTGTGGGGTGTGTGTGTGTGTGGGGTGTGTGTGTGTGTGGGGTGTGTGTGTGTGTGTGGGTGTGTGTGTGTGTGTGGGGTGTGTGTGTGTGTGGGGTGTGTGCGTGTGTGGGGTGTGTGTGGGGTGTGTGAGTGAGTGTGGTGTGTGTGGGGTGTGTGTGGGGTGTGTGTGTGTGTGGTGTGTGTGCGTGTGTGGTGTGTGTGGGGTGTGTGTGGGGTGTGTGAGTGAGTTTGGGGTGTGGGGTGTGTGAGTGAGTGTGGGGTGTGTGTGTGTGGGGTGTGTGTGTGTGTGTGTGTGGGGTGTGTGAGTGAGTGTGGTGTGTGTGTGGGGTGTGTGTGTGTGTGTGGGGTGTGTGTGTGTGTGTGTGTGGGGTGTGTGAGTGAGTGTGGTGTGTGTGGGGTGTGTGTGGGGTGTGTGTGTGTGGGGTGTGTGAGTGAGTGTGGTGTGTGTGGGGTGTGTGTGTGTGTGTGGGGTGTGTGAGTATGTGTGGGGTGTGATTCTGTGTGTGTAGCACTACAGTACTGTGTGTTTTTAATAATGCCAGCCATTCATTTGTTGTTGTTGCAAAGAAGGACTTGGATGTAGCTGCACAGCCTCATGAACTCATTTACATTGATGAGGCTGTTTCAACTTCACTAAAAGTAGACAACAAGGACAGACTAAAGGCTTCTTTCCTTCTTTTCTATAACCGGTCGGAAACGTGTTTCTCCCATAAACCAGCAGCAATAACAAAAGTGTTTTATATTGACGCTGTGTATGCCTACTGTTTGCATGTTCTCCCAGTGCCTGTGTGCACATACTTTAGCTGTATCCTGGAGGATGCATTCAAAATACTCAGGAAATAAACCAAATCTGAAAATGTGGGAAACATTCTTGGACCAAAAGAAAACCACACTTTCTTCTCCGGTGCTTTGATGATGGAAGCTTGTTATTATCTGATATTGATTTTTCGCCCTGGTAGCTGGAGCTGGAGCTCTAAGCCAAGGGATAAAAACAACTTTTGGAGTGAAACTAGTTTGAAGCGAAGTCCTTGCAGTCCACCTGGTGTTCGGATCAACTCTCCACATTTCCCACTGTAATCCCTGGTGCCACCTCCTCCTGCAGCTCCCACAGCGGTACTGTAGATACTGTCGATTTGCAGAGTTTCTCTCAGGTTTAGAGGATGGTTTCTTATTATTTATACATTATTAGATGAATGTCACCCTTCATGAGTTCTTAGGCACTTCATATATGTATTTATTTATGTATATGTTTAAATTGTGGACATGACAATACATCACATTTCTTGTCACACAAACGAAAAGGAGCAGAAAGAAGAAAAATCTTCTGTTGCCTCTTTCTTTAAACACATACAATAACATTGAATGTGATGTTATTGATATTAAACAACAGCTGCTTTTCTCTTCTGTTTTGTCCAGAAAGTCAAAAGGTTATTTCGCATATTTATTTTTTGCTCATATCAAACATTCAGGAATTAATCAAAACCAGGAAAGCTTAAAATTGTCAAAGCCTTTTTTGTATTTTGTTCAAACCTTTTCTTTCGTAAAACAATTCTATCTTTACTTAAATGTAAGTCAGTTTAAAAAGACTTATTTTTATATCTTTTATATTATATTTATAATAATAATAATAATAATACATTTTATTTAAAAGCGCCTTTCAAAACACCCAAGGACACTGTACAGGCATAATAAAAACATTTAAAAACAGGATAAACAGAATAAAACAGTAGTCAGGTGCAATATGGGATGGTGTGTGTGTTTGTGTGAGTTGGAGGGTGTGTGTGTGTGTGTGTGTGTGTGTGTGCGCGCGTGTGTGTTAGGTGGGGTAGGACAGTCTGAACAGATGGGTTTTGAGTCGGGATTTGAAGAGTGGAAGAGAGTCGATGGTACGGAGGTCAGGGGGGAGAGAGTTCCAGAGCTGGGGGGCAGAGTGGCTGAAGGCTCTGTGTCCCACAGTGATGAGTCTGGCTGGGGGGACGGAGAGTGTGAGGGTGGAGGAGGAGCGGAGTGTGCGGGCAGGAATGTGAGGGTGGAGGAGGTCAGATAAGTACGGAGGGGCCAGGTTGTGAAGTGCTTTGAAGGTGGTGAGGAGTATTTTGAAATTGATGCGCTGTTTGACAGGAAGCCAGTGGAGTTGTTGTAGTACGGGGGTGATGTGGTGAGCTGTGGGGGT